TAGAACCACCTGTTCGATTGAAACCCGTAAAATCTGGTGCTGGCGTCGTCTGGGCCGGCTCCTCCCTGTCCAAAGAGACGAAGAAATCATCAAGAGACGAACGGACCTCCTCGAGGTCGGGCGGACACTCCACCACTTCGACTTCGTCGTCGTCGTAGGCGGCGGGAGTGTTTCCGCCGTCCCCCAGGGCGCCTGGGTCAGGGGCAATCGCCCGCAGGCGGGCCTGGGTTTCAAGCCAAGATGACATCGGACCTGACATACAGTCTTGTTCGTCGTCGTAGGAGGAGGACGGAGGCTCAGGAGGCAAGAGGGAACGTGCGCTGTCGGCGATGGCAGCTGCTAGGGCTCGACAGAGACCCGCTGGATACGTATTCTTGTGGGCGGCCAAGAAAAGGCCCGAAGCATTATTACATTGGAGCGTTCGGTGGGCTCCTGGCTCGTGAGGGCACCTGCCCGAGCCAGGTGTGGCTCTCAGGAGGCCGGGCGAGGCCTCCATGCGAATCAACAAAACAGTCGTGGGAGCTCGACCAAAGGCACCAGGATCCTCGTTGGGATCTCGGTGCTCGCAGTGGTCAAACGTAGTCGTGGCAAGGCACGGCGCCGCGGCGAGGGCCTGCAAGAGCCTCCAGCGGAAACTGGTGGCAGCCCGCGCGGCCCACGTGGGGGGGGCTGGGTGCTCCAACCACCCTCCAGTGCCGGCCCTCAGATGTTCTGCCAACAGATCTGCACGCACGAAATGGGTACTGAAAGAATGGGCACAATGCCCAACAGCGGATCTTGTTCAGTTTGAACAGGGCTCACTGTCCACGCCGCCGCGGCCTGTGTCCATTCGACACAGGAGGCCGCCTGCCCAACAGCGGCCGCTGTTGGTTTGGGACAACATTTGCTGTTGGGCATTGTACCCATTCCTTCGGTTCCCATTTTGGGCGTCCAAAACAGACGAACGAGGGAGTGCAACAATTGCGAACCAATCCGCAACTGCTCAGACTGCCTCTGCGTCACCCAAGGAGGTCCCCTCACGTGAGAAGTAGCCCTTCGAGGGGGGGGGCTTCCTCATGCCGTCTGGACGCCGACCAAGACTCGCAGGGAGGCCCCCCCCCCTTGTATTGATGACCCAGTGACTCCGAGTATGTTTTATCCAGTCGAGCAGGGTGGCCTCTCCAGTAAGATCTCCTCCTATGGGGTCAATTTCAAGGCCCACGCTAAGAACCAGGAGTTCGACCGACGGCTTCTCGATCGCGAACTTGATCTGCCATTGCACGTTTTCAGATCGGCGCTCGCCGCAAAAACGGTCAAATACGTAGAAGGTAGGCCTACGCATTCTGATCGGCACCGAAACAGCTGATATGTCTGAGTACTCTCCAGGGTTGAACACACAAGACGGGACATCACGTACCTCCATCACCACTGATGGGTCGTCCGAAAACATTCGAACCTACTCGATTCTGTCATTGAGGATGGCAGGATCGGTTTCCAGGAAAACACGAAGTGCATCACCATGGGAAAGTCATGATATTTCGTTGATACTGCGGTGCTGATCGATCCCAACTAGACGTGTGGCCAGCGTCTCTATGCGCCAACGTTCTTGTCCTGCAGCGCGCTGGGCTCGAAGTCTCTCATCTTCGGCCATCTGCAGTTGCTGAGCCTCAGCGACCGTGCAGCTCGGCTCCGACACGATGAGCCCTAACTCACAGTTCCAAGAGTCGAATGCCAAGTGAGCTGTTAATGCCGATCAATGGGCGAAACGTTGCGAGCAAGTCCGGCAATGTAGTTCGGGACCTAGGCAGTTGCGAATGACATTTACCCTCGAGTGATGATTGCGCTGGATATGCACACGAAGACCACGAGCACGAGCGAACGAAAACCCACACCACATACAGCGATACTGTTTGGCATCCTCGGATTCTTGCTGACGGAGGCGATGCCGTGCATCATCCCACGCAGGTGGCACACCTGCAGACTCAAGAATAGTAAAGGTCTGGGCCTCGGCCGTGCTCGCAAGCGTGTCCCTCTGTGGGCATCGCACATGTGCTGCCAGCGCCTGACGAATGGTCTGTTTCCAAGCTGCTGCCGATTTTAGGGCCTCCTGCTTCCATTTCGCAAGATCGTCACCCGGGTCAGAAAATTCCTGAAAGCGGCCAGTATGCAATCGAAGCCAGCGAAGATCTTTCAGGATCATGTGGCCCCAGGACCTCGAAGTGGTTTGCATGGCAGCGTGAACCAAAGCCATGATGTGCGGGGGGCCCGTGTGCAGCAGTCTAAGCCGATGTGCAGATAGAAGTGCGCTGACAGGAGGACGGCGCAATTGCACAAGCACATGGCGGTGCGTGACAGCCGCGTCGTCGGCACGGGGGAGCTTCGTGATCACGCGATATTAACGCATGATGCTGTCCTGGAGCTGGTTATACAGGGCCACGGCTAAGTACCCACAAGAGCTAGACTGAAACAGGCGACCAGAGCACACCAGAGAATCCAAGAAAAGCAAGGCAACCTTTTGGTCGATAGCCCGGTGCTTTATGACGTAAAACCTTCCAGGCCTGCGAACTCCCCTGAAGTCTACGTGCAAGTTCGGGCCCCATCGAGGCCGACATGTCGTGCTTAGTCACAGGATGAACATATTCCTGAACCCTATGAAGCGCAAGATCTCCCACCGTACTGGTATGTGTGTGTGTGTGTGTGTGGATGGTGTTGTTCATGTCCTGGACTCGGGTACGCTTTACCAAGCGAGACGACGGACCGTGAACTGGAGCATGAAAGCGGATTTTCCTGGCTTGACGTTAACTTGAAGACTTTGCGAGGTAAAAGCTTCAATAACGTCGCTGCTACGAACGTCGCCTGTGTGATCAGAGCGCTGGCCTTGCCCGCGAAACAGAAGAGGGCATCGTCAAAGAAGGCTCCTTCCATGACATGGCAAGTGTGGACGGGCGAGTCTTCGCTGCCGTCGGTCTTACCATACGCAGCCAAGGAAGAAGGAAGATGGCACGGTAAGCGGAGGCCCACTCCTAGTTCCACAAGGCCTTCTTGAGTTTGGGCCATGATTCTGGACATAACGAAATTGAGCACCAGGTCTCCCAACTGCTGTGCAGGTCCTGAGCCCAAGACTGGAACAGCCACGCCTTCCCCATCCCGAACGTAAAACCAGGATTGATCGTACGCATCCGAAGCTTGTCCCCGTCGGAACGCAGAAATACCGCATTGCTCCATAGTCGGAGTGTGTGTTTTGAGGAACTCGGCCAGCTCTTGAGTAGTCTCAGGAGGAAGCCCACAGAAGTTCAGCAGTTTTGCTACAGCCTCGTCGTCAGCCGACGTGCGAAACACAAATTCCCGAACAGACTTGTAAAACGCCTGGACCGCATCAATGGACAATATCATGACAGTATCGTTTTTTGCCGCTGCTAACTGCTGAAAGATACGTAGCTCGAGGGAGGAGATTTCGGTGCCTCGCCCCGATGTGCCTCCGAACTGTCTGCCCCCGGCCGCCTCAGCTGAGTGGGCAACCCCACATGCACGAGTAAGAGCACGAAATATTTTACCAACCTGCGAAGAGCCCAAGATGGGTCTGTTTTTTTACATTGGACGGGGCCCCCGACTTGAAAAGACTCCAATATAATCCTCCCTTCCATAGGATGGGTTCGCATATTCTGACGGTGCCCTTGGCGCACAGTGGGTGAAACAATGGACCAAGCTGAGTGGCGAACTTCTTCATCGCGGCTCCCGCTATGCCGTCGGGCCCCGCCGCAGAGCCCCTGGCACAGAAGAAAGTGTGTTGCGTGACACCTAGGGGCGGGACGTCCGCTATATCAGTGTCCACGTTGTGCGTCACCGACGCGTCGAGGGAGGGGAGAGAAGGAGGAGGAGGAGGAGGAGGAGGAGGAGGAGGAGGAGGAGGAGGAGGAGGAGGAGGAGGAGGAGGAGGAGGAGGAGGAGGAGGAGGAGGAGGAGGAGAGACACCAGGTGCCATAGAAGATCAGACTCCGGGATGACCGGGGCAGCTTCCTCAGGTACTGAAGTGCTGCAACCACACATTGGCCATCTCGACGTGCGACTTGAGGGGTTTGCCCTCTGGGCCGAACAACGTCGGCAAAGGGCGATTCGAGATTCTGCGACGAGAACAGGCTCCGACACCAGGTGCGCCAGATGCCCCAGGTGCCCTGGCGTTCCAGGCGCGCCCAGTGTGCCGGATGCGCAATGCGCTCTGCGTGCGCCGAGCGTGCGACATGCCCCAGCCGCGCCAGGTGCGCCTCATGCGCGAAGCGCTCAGAGAACGCCAGTTCCGTCCTCGCACGTGACAGCACTGCACTGGGCAACATGTCGACACCCTCGCAGTCCACGGCAACAGCCAATGTAAAGTGACGGCGGTGCACTTCGTATTAGGGATGGCGGGGTGGTGGCTCTCATGATCTGGTTTGCGATCCGTCAGGTGGGGGAGGTGATGATTATCAATAAGGAGCAGTGGTAAATCCCTCCCCGAGTGGGCAGCAGGGTTGGAAGGACGAACTCGTCAGACCACCCACGCCGGAAAGGGCTGGTGGGACTCACCTCGTGCATCTGCCGGATGCCGTTTGAATGGGTCCACGCTGCGGTCACGCGGCATCGGCGTCTCCGCCTGCCCAACCCCGAGGCCTGCCGCAGTTGCCACGGAAGTGCGCCTCGAGCCTTGGCGGACGATCGAGTTGTGATGTTCTTGCTCTCCTCGTCCCCCACTCAGGAGGGAAAAAAACACAGACAATTCATCGCCGATTCCCCAGAAACTATCGGAAACTATTGGAAGTGGGGGGAAAGTCAAACACCCAGCAAATATGGGGAAATGTGGGGAATCTTTTTATTTGTGTGTGTATTTATTTGTGTGTCCTGGGGCCCCCCAACCCACCCTGGCCCCTCGTCGTCGTCGTCGTGGCCGTCGTCGTCGTTGGTGTATTTCGCTTCCTCCTTCCATGCCACCGGCCGAGGCTGTCTACCTGCAGAGCCTCGGCGGCGGCACGGCGGGCGCGCCGCTGGAGGAGCACGCGGCAGTCCGAGCACCGAGTCCGCTGGAGGAGGAGGAGGAGGGAGGAATAGGAGGAGGAGGAGGAGGGAGGAAGAGGAAGAGGAGGAGGAGGAGGAGGAGGAGGAGGAGGAGGAGGAGGAGGAGAAGGAGGAGGAGGAGGAGGAGGGGGAGGAGGAACAAGGATTCGAGTTCCGATTATCGAGGCTTTCTGACGTCTTTCGCTGTGTTTGGGCCTCTGCCTCAGTCGTCTCCATGTCGTCGTCGCCTCGGCTGGATCCGCCTCGACGCACCCTAAGATGGGTCCGGAGGGTCGATTTGGGCGAAAGGGTGAGCTGGGAAAGCGCCAGGGCTGCCACTCCCTCCATCCGCTACTTCCTCCCGTCCGCCTCCTCCTTCCCCTCCTCTTTTCTCTCCTCCTTGGATGAAGGGGTCATGGGGTTCCCCAAGATCCAGCGCGAGCTGAAAAAGCCGTGTTCTTTATCTGTTCCGATTGAGGATCCGCAGGTGAAGATAGGTGCCCGTCTCAGGTACTGGAGACCTGCTATTACCTTAGCACAGGTCTCACTCGTGGTACTTCGTCTACGCATGCTGGATCATAACTATCCCTGCTACATCGGCCTCGGTATCCTCCGCTGTATAAGTAATCCTATGAATACCTCTCGTCATTATCGATTGGCTTGCAAATGCTGTCGATTGGTTGCGATGGACATGCTGATATTCTTCATTATTTAAGTTGTCCCCATGTCGCTGCTGTTTTGAAGTGCCTCCTCTCCTATCTTCCAGACTGGTGGGGCACCGGTCATCCTAGCTAGAGCGCGCTTCGATTTTTATTCCCGCGAGTTCCTGCACGGAAGACTTCCACTCCATTGCTGTTACTGCTGGTTCAATCTTCTCATCCAATTCACTTATTTAGCAGCCCGTGATTTACGTGTTCACCCCCTCGGAGTTGAATTCCTTGAGGGCCGAATGCGCCTGTCTGCGACGAGGTGTACAGGAGTCAGGGCACTTGCGCACTGAGCGACCCCCGTTCATAGCCATGCTGGCTCAAACCATTTTGGCTCGAGATATTGAGGTTCTCAGCGCATTCGGTGGTCGATTCTGTCTGGAGGTGGTCCGCCCTATTGTGCATCGTGCGCAGCTCGCCCTGTTCACGGGTTCCGCCTGGGTGGTGTCGCTGCGCGCTACCACCTTGAGCTCGCCTCCTTTCAGCACCACGGCGTCGGCATGGTGCAGTGGGAATGCCAGAATGGGTGGAATAATGGCTTTCAGTTCGGCAAGCGAGGCGGCAAGCGCAACGAGGAACGTGCAGTGCGTCCAGCGCAGGTACACGTATGGAATCTCATTCAGGTTTAACCGCTGGCGTTCCCAGTGTGCGCAAGCCTGGGTGCCGAACCCAGACGTGGCCCGCAAACCAGCGGGGCAATGCACGTCTGTCTTTGCAGCTTTTCCCGCTGAGCATTCGTCGTTCGCGGAGGACGCGACCGATGAAGGCCGCTGAGGAGCGCCCAAAGGTGCCGCGGAAAGTCCAGGTCGGCCACGCGCGCCTATGCCCATAACGAAGGCTGCTTCCACTAACCGCTCTTGGACGCATTCGACATCGGGCTGGCGTCCTCAAGTCGCGGAGGAGGACATCGTGCCAAGATCGGTGCTGGCCAGGCGCATTCGGTCGCGCCGGTCGGCGCTGCAGCGTATACGACGAAGCAGGCGCCGTCACAGCAGCGCCCGCCACACATGGAGCAAGAGGAACTAGAGCCGACTTGTATGGCAATGTGCGGATCGCGCGCCTCGACACTGTCTCCGTCGGCGCCCCGGAAGCGGAAGAGTGGCTTGCCGAAGCCCGCGAGGCTAAGAGCACGACAGCTCAGTGAGCGCATCGGCCCGTTGTTCGGCTTGAGCTCCAAGGCGCAGAGAAGCAGGCATGGGGAAGCATTGAGAGCCAGCGCGCCGATGTCGCGCAGAGAGACATCGCCAAATTTCTCGGCCCAGCCTGCGCGGATACGCACGTCGGCGCCGCGCGCAGAAGCTTTCATAATTGCCCAGGCGACGCGAGCGCGCCGCGGGGTGGGCCAAGGTGCAAGGGCCGCCTCTGCAGTGCCATCGGCTCCCAAAGGCGCCGCTGTGGAGCGCCCTGTCGGCGCTGCCCTTGGTCCTGAGCACGGCGGGGTCGCCGTCGCAGTTTGGGGCGGGTCTTTCCAGGGATGTCAATCTTTCCGGGGCGACGCCCCCTTGTTTTGCACGAGATGCGGCCGCCCCCCCCCCCCCGCCCAGACTGCGAATAAATTGCGGGGGGAGGGGGGGGGGCGTCTGAAGTCGCGGCGGGAGCTTCGGGGCTGGCTGGGGCTTTGGCGCCGCCGGTTCGACAATCGCGCGTTGAAGCTCGAGCTGGCAGCTTCGCCGCCGGCGGGGGGACCTAGTTTGCCAGGCGGCTCTCGTCTGCTTCCTCCAGAAGTGGAGAAGTATAGAGCTCCCAACATTCCCAGAACGAGACGGCCTGTCTGCAGGCGGTTGCGGCGCGGTGGCATGCCCGCCCTTAATTGCGGTGACATTGCCACCAGCGGAGGAGGAGATGCTGTTCCGCGCGGGGGGGGGGGGGGTGTCTGATCCAGTCGTAGTCTCAGGGCCCCAGGGCTGCTGCGATCACTTGACTGAGTCGAATTGTTCGGCGTGCGTTGTTGGGTTCGCAGTGGCCGCCGGGAGGTCTGCCTCTCCGAGAGGGGCCCGTCGTCAGCGGCAGCTCGAGTCGGCGTCTGCGTCGTCTGCGTCCGACGTGGCCTCGAAGGGCCAGGAATCCCATGTGGCTCTTCGAGCTGAGTTAGAAGGTGATGAAATGGGGCGAAGATCCGAAGCTCCTCCGCCGGGCTGCGCGGGACGCCCCCTGCCCGAGTTACTGTTGCGCCACTTGGGAGAGGAGGAGAGAGTCTCGGTTCGAGATTTGCGCGCGTGGGCTTCGATGTGGATGGGCGATCTTTCGGGGTCGCAGGAGACGACGAACGAAAATTACAAGGTTCGGTGCGATGCGTTCTTCCCGCGCGCGTTGACCGACGAGCGCAGCCCCCCGGCGCTGCGCAGGTCCCTCAGGCGTTTCGTGTGCGGTGTGCGTTTCGAGGATTGCATGGGGGAATTGTGTCAGCGTGGGGGCATGCAGATCCGCGCCGACCCGCGGTCTTGCAGTGGCCGACGGATGCGGCGGCAGGGTTGAGGCGCGCGCTGGAAGGTCACCACCATCTTGGCTTCATTTTGTGGCGGCGATTTCCGCGGAGGGCCCGGGGTGGCAGCGCGCCGGCGGACAGCGCCCCCATCGGCGGCCATCGGGTGGGGGTGGGGGGGGGGGGGGGGCGTGCGTGCGAATCCTGGGAGTGGCCTCTCAGGTAGTTGGTCAGTTCTGCGAGACGCTAGAAGGCCAAATCCAGGGCTGGCCCCCCGGGCACAGCGTTGCTCGGTTGTTTGCCAACCGCGAGGGCGCAGGGCCCTGGCGGCGGCCTCCAGGCGCCGCGTCGCCACGTTTGAAAGGTCAGACCGCGCTCAAATCCAGAGGATGGCCTTCTTATTTCAAGGTCGTCGCGCAAGCTAGATGACCGCCCATCGCAACTAGGGGGGCGAGCAGTGTCGCGACCCCATCGGCGATGTAGACCATCGGGCTTAGTGGGCAGATGATTGCGCGGCAGAAGAGGAAGGTCATCCAAAACGTGACGCGCAGCAGTTGGCGCCTGACGCAGCCGAGGGTCTGCCGGCGCAAGTGGAAGCAGGGGGGCCTCCGCGCGATGCCGGGGCAGCCGGCGCTGCGCCGCCCACCGAACTCGGCGCGCGAGACGGCGACTTCAGCTTGCTCTACGGCGACGCGACAGCTGGGCCCTCAGTCTCGCAGGCGCCTCGCTCGAGCTGCTTGCGATGTCATTTGTTTCGCGGCGAGGCTCGTCGCAGCCCGGGCTTCTCATTCAGGGTTTGAGCAGAACTTGCGCAAGGATGGCTGGAAGGTCAGCGCCGCCGGCAGCGCGCTTGCTGGGCGAGGAGGTTCACGGGGGGCGAATGGGCGATCGCCCGCAGGCGCTGGGCTGCGACTTCGCTACGAGCGACCCGTCAGCGTTCTCTAGGGGCGCGGCAAGACGGAGCCTTGAAGCGGTGGCCCCGTCGGCGACTAGTCCACGCCCCGCGGCCCGCAGGGTCTGCGGGCGCATTTTCAAGGCAGGCCCCCGCTGCGAGAGATTGACTGCAAAAGCCGCGCCTCCCGAGCGACGGGGGCAGCGCGTCCCGGTGGAGCTCTTGGAAGATGCCAGTCTGTCGTGCCAGCCGAGTGTCGGCGCCGAGGAGCTGAGCGTGGATTTCCATGTGTCGTCTGACAAGTGGCTGGCATGCGCTAGTGAAGCATGCCTCGAGCTCAGCAAGGAATGTTGTGACCCTACTGGAAGCAGCCCCTGCCAGTTCCCATGTCTCTCCAACATGCGCGCTGGTGGGGTGGCGCGACTCGAGGGTCAATTTTTTGCGCATCGTGAATCATCAGAGGTTGATCCAGCGCGCTGCCGAGGCCGAGCAGCAGGCTTCATATTGCAGTTGCAGCCGCCCAGTGCGACCCCAGGCAGGCCACACTTTGTTGACGGAATTGGCGGCTGTTCTCGCGGCGGCGCAGAGGCTTCCATCCCCTCGGTGTCACGTTTGCAATCCGACGCGACAGGGGGCGTGCCTGGCGCGCCTCGAGCTGCAGCGTGCGGCGGCGTCTTCAGCAGCGCCGCGGGGTTATTTCGGTCCAGAGGGGGGAAGATTGCCGCGCGTCGGTTGGCCTGGGCGACTTCGAGTCAGCAGGCGCTCCCAGAGTAGTTGGGCGACATTCGGCTTCTCACTGTAAGAACCGCTGGGCGCATGCAAGATCGCTGTTTGGCACGACGCAGGCACGCATGCATCCGTTTGGGACGAGCAGCAGCGGGCAAGCAAGCCCGGGCGCGCGCGCGCGGCAGTCGAAGATGCGAAGTCTTGGGCCGAGACCCTTTGTTACTGGAGCGCCAGCAGGAATCCCTATCG